CAAATATGTTGGTACCAAAGTAAGGCCTTTTCACAAGAAATGCGAAATATAAAATGCTAGCTACACCTGTTCCAGGGTTATGACCAAGGTTAACATTTTATAATATAGGACAAACTCCATTTCAAGGTCAAAGGGTCAAGGTTGTTGGGTTCTAAAAAAAGACTATCTCAAAGATTACGTATGGGAAGTATGAAAGCGCTGGCCCTTATCGTTCAAAAGTTATGACCAGGTAAAAGTTTGAAAAAAAGTAGGTCAAACTCTAAGGTCAAGGTCAAAGGGTCAAGATTCTTGATATCCAATGAAAGGTCTTGTCACAAGAATTAGACAAATGAAATATGAAAGATCTAGCCCCTACTGTTCAAAAGTTATGGTCAAAGTTATTGTTTGTAAAAAGCAAGTCAAACTCCAAGGTCAAGGTCAAAGGGTCAAAATTCTTGATATAAAATGAAAGGTCTTGCCACAAGAAATAAACTTGTGAAGTATGAATGCCCTAGTCCGAACCCTTCAAAAGTTATGGTCAATGTTGTTTTTTTTTAAAGTAGGTCAAACTCCAAGGTCAAGGTCAAAGGGTCAAGGTTCTTGGTATCCAATGAAAGATCTTTTCATCACGATTATATATGTGAAGTATGAAAGCCGTAGTACTTACTGTTCAAAAGTTATAGCCAAGGTTAAAGTTTTTTCATAGATACAGAAATCTCCAAGGTCAAGGTCAAAAGGTCAAGGATGTTGGTATCCAATGAAAGGTCTTTTCACAAAGAATACATATGTGAAATATAAATGTCCTGGTTTCTATTGTTCAAAAGATATGGCCAAAGTAAAAGTTCAAAATTTTTGTGTTTAAGTGGGTCAGACTCCAAGGTCAAGGTCAAAAGGTCAAATTTGGTGGTACCCAAAGAAAGGTCTTGTCACAGGGAATAAACATGTGAAATATAAAAGTCACAGCTCCACTAAATCAAAAGTTACGGACAAGGTTAAAGTTTTTGCGGACAAAAAGAGAGACAGACAGACACGACAAAAACTATATGCCCCCGAAACTTCATTTACGGGGGCATAAAAAAATCATTTAATTTGCTCTTTGGGTGAATGATATCTAAAACCTTCTCTGTATAAACCATGTTTTACTCTATGACAACAATTTTTTATCAGAACACTAAATGTCTCATTTCAACAGTTTTTAAATAAATGCATAATATGGATAGTAGCAAACCTGACTGTGACTAATATTGTTATTACTTGAAACTAATTTATTTACAATCTTTTCAGTTTTTGGAAATATTTTAATCAGTATTAAAACAAATTTGTTTTCAGATGCTTTTGTATACATCCCTACAGTATGACATATTTGAAATATTAAGTCAGATTGTTATAACGATTTGAACTCGATTATTATAATGGCTGGACTCCAATGAAACCAGAGGACCAACTGCTCATTGTACTAGTGAAGTTAAAACTCAATCTGCGGGACATTGACTTGGCTCATAGATTCTGTGTCAGTCGACCAACAGTTTTGAACATCTTTCATACCCTTGTTCATGCACTACACAAGATGCTGTCTGATGGCGTAGTAAATGAATCTTTTCCAAGTCAACTTAAATGCAAAGGTTTGTTTTAAAATTTATCATAATGACTTGCAAAAATTTTATGCAGTTACATTTATTGTATTCTTGAAAGTTTGACTGTAAGGCCCAGAAGAAAAATATGTTTGTTTCCCCTTTCCAGACCGACCCTAATTTATAGTGCCGACCCTAAATATTTTTTTAATGCTTTGTCCCATGCTGTGCAAGATTACATCCAGGGAATCATAGTCTCCAACTTTGCAAGCTTTTCAAGACAGAAAGAATTTTGGGTCACCTTTCTATTATCAGTTTAAGTCACAGAAATGCTTAAAAACACCATTTCTTTTGTCATTAATGTTAATTCTATACATGTTTTGATTTTTTGATTAAAGAAGCAAAAAAAAATTTTTTCAAAAAAAAAAAAAAATTTTTCCCTACGTACCCTGCATTTTTAGCTCACCTCAACGAAGTTGGGGGGAGCTTATGTGATACCCTCGGCGTCGGCGTCCCAGGTTAAGGTTAATTTTTTTGGAGCAGTTTTCTTTTTAATTACTTCTGTGTCCTATACTGATTAGACATGCATGGAAGATGGTTTTAGTGTGTTTTATTGTACCAGACAAAGTTTCAGATGCTGCAATTTCAGCAAAGGAATTACCAGGTTAATGTTTTTGGAGCAGGTTAACATTTTTGGTGCAGTTTTTGGTGTAGGTTTCATTTCCAAGTAACTATAAGCCCTATGCTGACCAAACTTGCATGGATGATACATCTAAGGATGCATACTACTGGGCTTGCTTCGGATGCTGAATCTGACCTACATTTTCCGGTTGAGTGAACAGGTTAAAGTTTTTGGTGCAGGTTTCATTTGCAAGTAACTATAAGCCGTATGTTGACCAAACTTGCATGGATGATACATCTAAAGATGCATACTACCGGGCTTGCTTCGGATGCTGAATCTGACCTACATTTTCCAGTTGAGTGAACAGGTTAAAGTTTTGGTGCAGGTTTCATTTCCAAGTAACTATGAGCCCTATGTTGACCAAACTTGCATAGATGATACATCTAAGGATGCATACTACCGGGCTTGCTTCGGATGCTGAATCTGACCTACATTTTCCAGCTGAGTGAATAGTTAAAAGTTTTTGGTGCAGGTTTAATTTCCAAGGAACTATAAGCCCTATGTTGACCAAACTTGCATGGATGATACATTTAAGGATGCATACTACCGGGCTTGCTTCGGATGCTGAATCTGACCTACATTTTCCGGTTGAGTGACCAGGTTAAAGTTTTTGGTGCAGGTTTCATTTGCAAGTAACTATAAGCCCTATGTTGACCAAACTTGCATGGATGATACATCTAAGGATGCATACTACCGGGCTTGCTTCGGATGCTGAATCTGACCTACATTTTCCGGTTGAGTGAACAGGTTAAAGTTTTTGGTGTAGGTTTCATTTGCAAGTAACTATAAGCCCTATGTTGACCAAACTTGCATGGATGATACATCTAAGGATGCATACTACCGGGCTTGCCTCGGATGCTGAATCTGACCTACATTTTCCGGTTGAGTGAACAGGTTAAAGTTTTTGGTGTAGGTTTCATTTCCAAGTAACTATAAGCCCTATGTTGACCAAACTTGCATGGATGATACATTTAAGGATGCATACTACCGGGCTTGCTTCGGATGCTGAATCTGACCAACATTTTCCAGTTGAGTGAACAGGTTAAAGTTTATGGTGCAGGTTTCATTTCCAAGTAACTATAAGCCCTATGTTGACCAAACTTGCATGGATGATACATCTAAGGATGCATACAACCGGGCTTGCTTTGGATGCTGAATCTGACCTACATTTTCCAGTTGAGTGAACAGGTTTAAGTTTTTGGTGCAGGTTTCATTTCCAATTTACTATGAGCCCTATGTTGACCAAACTTGCATGGATGATACATCTAAGGATGCATACTACCGGGCTAGCTTCGGATGCTGAATCTGACCTACATTTTCCAGTTGAGCGAACAGGTTAATGTTTTTGGTGCAGGTTTCATTTGCAAGTAACTTTAAGCCCTATGTTGACCAAACTTGCATGGATGATACATCTAAGGATGCACACTACCAGGCTTGCTTCGGATGCTGAATCTGACCTACATTTTCCGGTTGAGTGAATAGTTAAAAGTTTTTGGTGCAGGTTTAATTTTCAAGGAACTATGAGTTCTTTAATGACCAATCTTGCATAGATGATACATCTAAGGATGCATACTTCCAAGCTTGCTTCGGATGCTGAATCTGACCTACTTTTTGTGGATGAGTGAAAATGTTAGTTTTGATGCATGTTTCATTTCCAATAAGCTATGAGCCCTATAATGAGCAAACTTGCATGGATGATATATCTAAGGATGCACACTAATGGACTTGCTTCGGATGTTAAATTGGACATACATTTTTCAGATAATAGACAAGGTAAAAGTTATGGTTGCAGGTCTTTTACCAAAAACTATAAGGCTTATATAACATTGTATAAACCAAATGCACAAATGCTGCATCAAGAGATGAAACCTCTCAAATTTGCTTCAGATTCTTGTTTTTTCATTACATTTTCATGAAGAAGAAGTAGTTTAAATTTTTTTATGTAGGTCTATTTCAAAGTATCAGATCAAAATTGCTTTTAAAAATATTTTCATTTTTGGAATGTATACTTTTTGTTGGTTAATTGTGTGACTTTGCCTTACTTAAAGACAACATTCGTTGAGGTGAGCTCTGTAATCTCTGATTACCTATGTTTTCAGCCTGAAAGCGGAAACAAACATTTTTTTCTAGGCCTAACACAATCTTTTTTACACAATTACAAATAATCAAATTAATTTTTTTCCAACTTTTTTTCAGGGTCTCTGCCAAAATCTTTTGAGGATTTTTCCTCTGCTAGAGCATCCATGGATGCAATTGAAACAACCCAGGACATCCCAACACATATGGACAATCAGGCCATGGCCTACAGTATGTACAAAAGTCGCCATACTGTTAAAGCAGTGATTTGCATGGCTCCAAACGGTGCACTTACATTTTGCTCCATGCTGTACCCAGGTTCTACTTCTGATGTAGCTATTGTACGTCACAGCCAAGTTTTACGAAAGTTCGAAGCTGGAGACCTTATTTTGGCGGACAAAGGTTTCACCATTCATGACCAGTTGCCCCAGGGTGTCTGCTTTAATATACCAGCTTTTTTATCGACACGAGGCCAGTTTACCAAACAAGAAGCAGCACTGTGTTACAAGATTGCTAAAGCACGTATTCATGCGGAAAGAGCCAACGAGAGGATAAAGAATTACAAGATTCTCCGTCACATCCCATCTACTTACAGACCAATCTCAACAAAAATATTTCAACTCTGTTCTTGTCTTGTAAACTTGCAAGCTCCACTTTTGAAAGAAATTACTTATTTTAAATTTGCATTGGTGTGTGACAGTATGTTTTTATTACAAGAATGTTTGGCAATTCCATTCTTCATTTGACAATATAATTTGGAAGAGGGTTTACTTATAATTTTAAATCTCTAGTTTCATGTATATTTACCTTTAAAGCACAACTCAACAAATTCATGTTTTCAACAATTTATTTATTAACAAAGACAAAAATGTTACATTTTCACTTTGAGAATAACATCTTCAATTCATTAATAAAATGATTCTAAATTTTGATATTCTTTTTTATGTAGTACATAGATTTTATTAATCATCATTGCTATTTAAAATAGTCTTATAAGCCAGAAGTTTTATGATGGATTGTGACATATCATATCATACATTTATAAGACTTAGGAACATTCAACATGTTTAACATGATTACCCATTTTCCATTGTTAGAAAATTCTAGAGGTACAAAACCAAGTGTCAAGAAGTTCAAACCAGAACTCAGTTTTCCATCAGGCCATCCTTAAAAAATAGTTTTTTTGCGGTAACACGACCGACTCACCAAAATCCACCCTACTGGAATTTTTTTATAGCCTCAAAAATCTTCTCTTTTTTTTCTTTACATATCCATTTTCCTTTTTTTTCAATTGATATTTTTTTAAGTCTCCATTGCACCTACGCCGTTTTTAAAAAAGAACTGATGTGTTCTGACTTTTGAGCAATGAAAGAATTTAGAATGCTTTCATTTTCTTGTTTGATTAGTAAGGTGAAATCTAAGACATAGTTAATACCTCTATATAATCTTATAGAAATTTATTTCTAACATTTTGTCTCAAAAAAAAAAAAGCCTACCTACCTACTCGCACCTAAAATGATGAGGCGCGTTACCGCAAAAAAGAAATTTTTTAAGGACGGCCTCAGTGCTGGAATGAAAATGTTAAAGTAGAAATCTATCAGCTTTGAAACATTTGCTGTCCATTAAATGTCTTTTACTATTCTAATCACAATGCAGTCTACTCTTGTCCACACAATTAAGTCACAGCATGTTTTGTTACATATGTGAAATTGGCCTTGAATTTGATGATGTATGGGTGACTGGTTTTCAGGCACAGGGTATCTTGTTTAAGATCTAAAAAAAATCAAACAACACTTAAGTTATGTTTTACCAATTCATATCCCCTCCTTTTTCCACAACTTCATACCATATTGAACAGTTGCACTTGTAAATTAATACATGTATTGAAATCATTTACTCACCAAGATTTTTACTTTCAAAGTACTGGACAATACAAATTTTTAATCCAACTTATAAATTGTTATTTACCTATGAAAAAATCCTTCAAATTTTGTGCCCCATCTGCTACTGTTGAAGACGATGCTGTATATAGACACTTCACCTCTACAATATCAGGAATGGCGTCTTTGGCTTCTGGAGTTTGATAAAATACACTGCATGTTGGTGGTCGAACAACTAAGCCATCAGGTGAAGCTCCCAACACTCCAGATTCATGCAACCATATCCCTTTCAGAAAAAATTATAATACTTCTGAATGCAAACAAACCATAATACAATTGATTTTGTAATGCAAACAAAGTCTAAGTAGAGCTTTTATAATCCTTCCACTTCAAATAGATTTCCAGCAAATTTTCTGGAATATGTTGGTAATTGAATATTTTTTTTACAATTAGACTTCAGTAATTAATTTCTGTTTGTCACCAGGATAAGTCCTGTTATTTGTTTTGACACAATGAATGTTAACATGTAAAAGGGTTGAAGGAATATTATTTTGTGCTGTATACCTGACTGCTCTACAGCTGCATCAAAGTCCTTTTCATACTTTCTCAAAGCATCATCTTCATGAGTGATACCCCATGCAACAGCCTTGATGGACTCTAGCTTGTAAGCTGACATAAGCCGTTTTTTCAGTGACAATGTCAATCTGAAGAAGAAAATATTATTTTTAGCTCACCTGAGCCGAAGGCTCAAGTGAGCTTTTCTGATCACATCTTGTCCGTTGTCTGTCTGTCTGTCTGTCCGTCTGTAAACTTTTCACATTTTCGACTACTTCTCAAGAACCACTAAGCCAATTTTGACCAAACTTAGTACAAAGCATCCTTGGGTAAAGGGGAATAAAAATTGTTAAAATAAAGGGCCAAGTCCTCTCACAAGGGGATATAATCAAGAAAAGACAAAAATAGGGTGGGGTCATTAAAAAATCTTCTTCTCAAGAACCACTGGGCCAGAAAAGCTGAAACTTATGTGGAAGCATCCTGGTAAAGTGTAGATTCTAAATTGTTCAAATCATGATCCCCGGGGGAAGGGTGGGACCACAATGGGGAATCAAAGTTTTACATAGAAATATATAAGAAAAATCTTTGAAAATCTTCTTCTCAAGAACCATTGGGCCAGAAAAGCTGAAACTTTAATATGTGCACATGGAAGGATCATGGGTCAGTGTAGATTTCAAAATGTCTTAATTATGATCAGTGGGGTAGGGTGGGGATACCTTATGTATTACAAGGGGGAAATCTGGTAAAGAACAGAATGGTCAAAGCTTCTCAGGTGAGTGATGTGGCCCATGGGCCTATTGCTGGTTATTAATCTTACATTTCCTGCATCTATATGTACATAAATCTGTGAGCCAATGCTCACTAGTAATACCCCCACTCTGATGTAAATAAGCACTATCATGTTAATATATATACCCAAGTTCAATTACAGGCAGATGCACAGAAAAATAGGAAGTTGACATCAGATTCATATCAAAATTAATCCCACCATACGGCATGCCTCAACAAAAGGTGCAAAAAATTTCAAGCATCCGCTATGAATAGCTAATGAGAAAACTGCGACGAAAATTTGTTATGTTTGATACAGACAGACAAACAGGAAGTTGATATCTGATTTGAAAAAAAAATGTATCCCAAGATATGGAATACCTTAGAGAAGATTTTGTTAAAATTTCAAACATCTACAACGAGTAGTTGCAGAGAAAACTGTGACGAAAATTTGTTATGTATGAAAAGGACAGACGCACAGACAAACAGGAAGTTGACATCGGATTTCAGCGAAAATGTATCCCACCATATGGCATGCCTCAGAGAAGATTGTGTTAAAATTTCAAGCATCTACGATGAGTAGTTGCTGAGAAAACCGTGACGAAAATTTGTTTCGGATGGACACACAGACACACGGACAGACACACAAGGGTAAAACAGTATATCCCCCTCTCCTTCGGAGCGGGGGTATAAATATCTAGTCATTACAGTCAAACCTCATTATCTCAAACTCAATGAGACCAAGAAAAATGTTGGAAATATCCGTGGATTCAAGAATAATACATGAAGAGTTATCGAGAGTAAAATGTCCCAGTCTTTTTAATATAAATGGTTTGGACTTCAAAATTACTTGGACATATCCATGGAATTTGAGATAATGGGTTTGAGATAACAAAGTTTGACTGTAATTTAAAAAGTCTATTTCGCAAAAATTTAATCACCGCCTTTGCTTAGAACTGAGAACTGCACCAAAGTTGGAAGCTGTTATTCTGTATTTCTTTACAATCGACCACATTGGGTTGTCTCGTTGCCCAGTTGTTTCCAATGCAGCTCTTTTAATGGCTTCATCTGACAGGGATAATGCATGCTGTAACCATACCATAGGGGTATCGGAATGAACATACTCTGGTGATGTTAACAGGTCTTCAATGAGAGGTACAGGTGGACCAGGTTCACATGGCTCTGGTTCAAGAATCCATTTCAATGCTGAAAAATTTCATTACGTCATTCTCAAAAATAATATCCATAATATCCATATGACATATACCAAGTAATTAATATAAGAGTCCATACATTTCATTTTAGTGAACACTATAATGGGTTTTTGTAATGTATGCACTACATATCAAATTTACAACTCACTTGCATATATTTGTTCAGAATTGTTCCTGTATATATTTTTGCACATGGCATTCTTAGTGTGAAAGTGCCATGGAAAAATTGGTGCAAATGTACAATTAATATTTACTAAATTATTAACAAGGTTTCATAATGACAGAGTATTAGAATAACAGAAGAATGATCTGATAATTCGCAAGAATATGAAACAAAATATATTTTTTAATGCATTTGAATGATTTTTTTTCCTTTCAAAAATGTATGCTCATGTACAAATATGCTATCATATTTATAATATTGTCTTTCCAATTATTCAAAGATTATTATTAATATGTATTACATAGTACATGTATGTTCAAAAATTAGGCAATATACATAGCCAACTATATTATGCTCCTCATCTTTGTACATTTGTTCACAATGAAAATTAACCATTGGTCAGTAACAAAATAACAGTTTCATATATATTTCTATTTAAAAATTTGATCATCCCTTGTGGCCCCGTCCTACCCCCGGGGGTCATGATTTGAACAAACTTGAATCGATCTACACTACCTGAGGATGCTTCCATATAAATAGGATCAATTATGGCTTTGTCATTCTTGAGAAGAAGATTTTTAAAGAATTTTCCTATACATTTCTATGTGAAACTTTGGAAGGCCATTGTGGCCCCATCCTACCCCGGGGGCTATGATTTTAATAAACTTGAATTTACACTACTTGCGGATGTTTCCACATAAGTTTCATTTTTCCTGGCACAGTGGTTCTTGGGAAGAAAATTTTTAAAACATACCATCAAAGAGCAAGAGCCATCTTATGCATAAATTGGCCCTGTCCTTATGTTAAATAATTAACTATCACCCTCTTTCCCATTTTATATGTCAAAATAAAGTAAACATTTGGTGCTTTCATTTTCTATTAAAAAAAATCGTTTTGAGAATTCAGATATTGGAAAACAAGTTTGTGAAATTGCAATTTTCTTGAAATTTGCTGAAAACATGCGTGTTTGACTACCTTCAGCAAAAAATTAAAATATGAGCACAGTCCACGATCCAAAAAATAAAACATGTTTTGTAATCTTCAGAAGCTGAGCTTTTATTATGTATTTGCAATATGCAATGAAATATTGAAAAAAATGCTTCAACGTTAGGCCATTTTCAGAGAAATTTACATGATATGAGGAAAATGATGCATTTTATGACGTCATAATGCATTGAGTAGATGAAAAATTACGTCAAAATTAATAGATATGTGGTCACCAACACTCCAAGTGATAAATGCTGCATTTGCAAACTAAACTGAGCGGTTTTGATTTTTCGGAAATTCTCAAGGCCAAATTAGGCCCAACGTGGCTCAAGCTCTTTTCATTAATTTCCAATTATTTCCCCTTGAATGAGGGCGTGGCCCTTCATTTGAACAAACTTGAATCCCCTTCACCCAAGGATGCTTTGTGGCAAGTTTGGTTGAAATTGGTCCAGGGGTTCTTGAGAAGAAGTCGAAAATATCAAAAGTTTACAGACAGACAGATGAACAGACAGCTTGATAGACGGACACTGGACAAAATGTGATCAGAAAAGAGCTAAAAATAAAACATTCCTCACCACAAAAGCCAGAAGAATATAGGGACCACCACCAGTAACATGTTTCTGGGAAGAACCAAAGCCATAAGAGAATCCATGCAGAGATAAATATCAATAGTCCTGAAGCTTTGATGCAGGACCAGGTACTAGAATTGCTACAAACACTACTCCGGAAACTTACCTATTATCCTATGATGTAACGTGCTTTTCCGACTCTGCGGCTGGTTCCCTCATAAGCTGGTACCGAGGACAGTTCAGAATGTCCTGTCAACTTTATTCCTCAACTTCCTGTCTTGGACTGAAAAGCAATAAGTGAAAATCTTTAGTGTTGCCTAGTGACTTTGAATTAAAAAGAAAGTTGCAAGATTGTGAAAGGAGGGGGGGGGGGTGGGTATTGATGCTGTGCATTTTAATAAAATGTACGAAATCTGTATTTCACAGTTTAATGCATTCATGTATTTTTGTGAATTGTCTTAAATGTAATAATTATTGCTATGTATTATTAAGCACTAAATCTATTCAACTGCATGTGTAAATGGAGAAAATGTGGATATGTAAATGATGTATAATTGCAATGTGTAAAATGTGACATTTTCTTATATGAGGGAGTCTGTTCATGTAATTTCTTTTTCATTAATTATTTTATTTATCTTGATAAAATTATTTCAATTAATAATATTGTTTTTCTTACCTGTCTGATGAACTCAACAAAGGTTACAGAGGTGAATGGTAGAAATATGGGTATTATGGTTGTCAAAACTCTCCGTTGTTGACCACACTGCATGCTGCACTGTAAAATCACCATTTTGGATCTTTAAAAGGGGAGGCTACTCCTGAAATCAAAGAAATTGTCGTAAAAATAAGAAACCTGATTTTTCTTAAAGTCTCACACAAGGAAATAATTTCACTATATGTTACTATATAGCTTTAATTAAATAAATTAATTAACTAGACTCTCAGCAGATAATTCATGAATGAAAAATAAAGATTAATGCTTAGACAAAAATTTGAGATCAGAAAAAATATACCCCTTATTCGGCTTTTAAGAAAGAAAATTGAAAGTAAACATACCTATACCCCGAAATACACATGGGCAAACAGCCAACACACCATCGATGAAGTTACATCGATCATGCATACCTAAAAAAAAAAAAATCCCTTTGATTCAGTGGCACAATTCTGCTGATATGATATTCCTAGTGCATGAGTTCAAAATTAAAACTGTAGACCTACATAAAAATGCTGAAAATAAAAAAGAAAAGAAATATTATTGTCTCTATATACATGATAATATTCCCGGTATCTTTTTAATATCTATTTAAGTTAGACTCATAAATATTTATTCTTTAAAATTGTTTATCCTCTCTCTCTCTCAACTTGGCAAAAATAAAGGGGGGGGTTCCAACCCCCGAAAACCCCCCTCTGGATCCGCCAATGTTAATATACTTATGAGCTCATAAAACTGTTCTTTAAAACTGTATGATATAGAGTGTAAAAAACTTTGAAACATGTTTGGAAAGTATTATCGCGCACACGTGATATGGGATAATATCACCACAGAAAGATCAAAGAAAATCACCGCAGATATGCGACAATAATTTTTATCATTGTTTATTGCTTGTCAAGAATATCATATATCATTACATATATTATATATCATTACATATATTACGATTTTTTTGAATTTATTATGTCAGGCTGTAAAAACAGCTTTCAAATATTAAGAAATTTTTAATACATTTACTATAAAAATAATTGGACAAATTTGTGAATGTCAATAATCAATCATGCATGACAATTAATCTTTTCCTGACAGCCAACTTCTAAAAATTTGTCGTGTTATTTATTTATATTTATTGCAAAGTCGTCCCTGGACTAGTGCTACGGTCAATGGGCCAATTTCGAACCCTGCGTGGCGAGAGTTTGTCCCGAGACACAGTTAGATTATTCTAAGTAGCACCTATATAAAATCATACCGATTAATCAACATCACTACAATATGAGGACCTTAAAATAGGATAAAACATTCTCCAGCAGTAAACCATTAAATTGTTTTTGATCATGTTGATGTCGTGAGTCAAATTAATGTTCTTGATTCCCACTTTTCACGTTATCAGGTTATGACTGACTTAATTAGTGCTTCGTGATACCAAAACAATACATTTTCAAAATATAGTATTACCTATAAGTTTGACTTTAGGTTGAATTCGCCAATTTCACACTTGCAAAATTGTGTGCACTCATGCATCAGCCTCGATCGCCGCTCCGGCTACTTTCGTTATTTCCAACCAATGAAAATTGTCCTTACTTTACTGAAGTACTGTTGCGTCATATTGCACTCATCACTGAATTGTAGAACACACATCACAAGATTTCGAATATACATCACAAGATTATCGAACATACATCACAAGATTTTGAATATACATCACAAGATTTCGAACATACATCACAAGATTATAGAATATACATCACAAGATTTCGAATATACATCACAAGATTATAGAATATACATCACAAGATTTCGAATATACATCACAAGATTTCGAACATGCATCACAAGATTATTGAATATACATCACAAGATTATTAAATATACATCACAAGTTTTTGAATATACATCACAAGTTTTTGAATATACATCACAAGATATTGAACATACATCACAAGATTTTGAATATACATCACAAGATTTTGAATATACATCACAAGATATTGAACATACATCACAAGATTTTGAATATACATCACAAGATTTTGAATATACATCACAAGATTTCGAACATACATCACAAGATTTTGAATATACATCACAAGATTATCGAATATAGCAACGTTTGACATGCCATATCCGTGGCTCCGATCATAAATTTCCTAAGTTTACCGTTCATTGCTATAATAGATTCATTTCACATGATTTATCAGTGGAACATACATAAAGTCCAAAGGACACAAAAGAAGAATCACAAGCATGTGTTTCTTACACATAACCTTGGGTTTCTTGCTTATTTAAATATCCATTTTGCCCGCCTTTAGCACAAAATTTCTGTCACGAAATTCCAACGAAATCTGATATTTGTTTTGAACATAGTTTATTGATATCAATCAAAAGGATTGGAAACAAATTCTTAATGACTTAGTGAATTCCTTTTAAAAAAAAATACATCAAAAACTAGAGTCACTGTGAACAATGAGCTCACTAGATGATACCCCCGCCTCCCATATGAATATAATGGGAGTTTCTATGTTTTGTTGTGGGAAACCCAAAATATGTGTCACATCAAAAAGTAAAATAAAAGGTACACAATGGCAATATGTAATAAAGATTCTGTGAATATTTCATCAAATTTCATTCAGTGGTATGGAAGTTGCGGATAAGAAATGGGAACTCCAAAGTGTAACAGATAGACAGACGGACGGACATACCGATTACTATTATTATTATTATTATTATTATTATTAGTGGTACATCCCACTAATTATTTTTAAAATAGGTAGGAGAAGAAAATAGTGCAGAAAAAATTACTTAAAAGTTCCTTAATTTGCAGCCTTGCATAAAAAAATTGGGCAAATGTACTGATCTGAGCCTCAGACTTGTTGATAAGTATATTTCCGACCAAAAAAGCTTGGCAAATGTAATTCATCAAGAAAATCAGCCGAATTATTTTGTGTATTATAACGCCAGTGAGAACTCTGACATTCCCCTACTTTCACTTTCATTTTAGAGGTTCCCGCAGACAGACGCATTTTGCCGGAAAACGAATCTGACATGCCACCTCGACATTTTAACCAAGGAAAGACAAGTTGATGTGCTTTGATTTGAGGGGTCACTCACTACTGAACGAAAATTAGGGACATCGCTATGAGAAGAAACGTTAACATTGTCGCCTATGGGAAAACAATTAGTGGACTGTACCCATATATCGCTTTTCAAGCGGGGGTATAATAACAGATCTCGCAATTTCATAGAAAATGCTTAAAGAATGGTTGGAGTTAAGTCCTTCAAATCCTTTTGCTTTACAAAACTTATCTCTAAATAAGAAATTGTTTCTCGTAAATTCCGAAACATAGGAATATATACTCAGTATCCGGATTTTATAGTAGAAAACTTTAACTGAAGCATGCTGGTGTAATCGATAAATGGCACCGTCAAAACACCCAATTTTGAAGGTATTTTTTTCAAAGTTAACATCAATTCTCTGTAAGGACCAAAATCTTACTGTAGGGCTGTGGCACACACCATGAGCGATTTTGATGAAACTTTTTCTGGTGATTAATGCCCATACAGTATGACATAATCAACATTCAAAATTAAGGTTACTACCTTGGTTGCCATGGTAACGGACAAATTTTAAATTTTAAAAACACTATAATAATGTTATTCAACCTTTATAAAAATTAGAGTGGTATTTTATTCGTTTAAAATATTTTTAACTTCGAAAATTGGCATTTTGCCAAATAATTTGTTTTTTGTTCAAAATTTTACCAGGCACTAGTTGTTTAATAAAAATTCTTTTCTAAACAGTTTTTTCTTATAAATATGAGAAATCAAATGAATAATAAATGCTTTCAATTTTTAAAAGCTATTAAATAAAATTAATCAAAATTAATTGTTTTATTATTGTTTCTCTATGATCCTTTAAAAAGGGCAGATAACTCAATATCTAGCAAAAAGTAGCTCTTTAATAGCCATTTTCTATAAACAATAAGACTTCTTTTTTCATGCACTGATTCTGATGAAACTTTCCCCATTAGTACTACTTGATACCAGAAATAAATATCAAATAAAATTTGGTTGCTAAGTATCTTGGTTGCCATAGAAACAGACAGAAAATTTTGAAAAAAGTGAAGCGTCCGGATATCTGAATTCTATTGATTTCTCTTCCAGGTATACTGTATTTGTATTGTAACTCTTATATATACACATGTATAAAGAAAGATAAATACTATCGTATAAAAATAATAATTTATTATTTTGAAATTGTAATTTTCTCCTCGTCAATAACAAACAGCCTGAAATCTTGCAATGAAGAACGTGGAAGATCTACTTTGCGTTGGCAGATTTTTTTTCTTTAAGCTGGTGGAAATGCCGACTCGCACTCTTTGCCGGCAGTGTAGACATGGTTGTAGCTGGAGAGCAAAATGACAAACATTGGATATAACGCTGCTTATA